CCCTGATGCCCTGATAAATATTGCGCAGTCTCTTAAAACGTAGGCGTCTTTCATAGAATTATTTGCCTTGGTTTGAAATGTTCATTAGTTGGGGGTTTGTTGTGCGGCTTTGTTCTAACAGTGCTTCTTGTAATTGTACTTTTTACGTTCCACGTGCCTTCAGGATAAACAACAATACGCGATTAAAACGTAGGTGTCTTTCATAGAATTATTTGCCTTCATTTGAAATGTTCATTAGCTAAGGGTTTGTTGCACGGCTTTGTCCTAACAATGCGCCTTGTGACATATATATCAAGGACGAAACAGACCTAGCCATCATTTTACCAAAGACCAAGTTGTAGTAGCACCGAAAAAAACTGGATTCCACTTGGTTAAGATWTATGGCTCATATAGTACTCGTAGTGTTTGTTCTTGTATCAGCTCTTACGGTTCCAAAAGTACTAGCTGATGATCCCAACACYGATGCAATTAAAAAGGCTTTCCTTCAACTACGTCACTTCGTTCAAAAACCTGGACAACCTCTTGGAACACCATTCACAAAACTAATRTCCAAACCATGTCGACGAAAACGCATAGCAATTGTAGGGGCCGGTCTTGCTGGTTTACATATGGCGTATTTACTGAAGAAGAACAATTACAAACGCGTTGTTGTTCTTGAGAAAGATTGTCGTGCTGGAGGAAAAGTCATGAGCGTCAACCATAACGGTGTACCACATGAAATGGGAGCCTGTTATACAAGCCCTGACTACATCACCAATGTATATGAACTTGCTAAAGAACTTGGRATCAAAGGTTTTGTCGCCATACCGCCTAGCTCCGTATGGCTTGATGGGGACATCTCTCCCATGCTATATAAGAATTATGTGGTCGCCAAAGTAATGAAACTGACTGGTGCACAGAGTCCCGCAGATGCGGTGAAAAAACTTATCCAAGCAACGCATCGTTTCGCGGGTATTCATCGAAAGATGTTTGGAAAGTACAAAGGTGACCTTATGCTGAAGCCYTCAAGAGAAGTTCTTGCTCACCTCAACCAGACCATGCTGTCTTTTCTTGCCAAAAACCATCTATTGGCTTTGGTTCCWGTTTTGACCGCTGCACACACTATACAAGGATATGGACACATCGATCGCATTCCAGCCCTCTAYGGAATGATGTGGGATACACCAAACTTCATTAGTGCCATGCTTTCTCGCGCTCTTGGTCAAGGTGCTGGCGGAAGTGAAATGTTCCGAGGTGGTTTCATGCAGCTGACGGACAAACTTGCATCCATGGTAGACGTCCGTTTTAATATCAACATAAAAAAGATCAAGCGTGCTTGGAATGGTATCAAAATCAGTTACGACAGCCCCAACTTTGGCAAAACAGATGAGAACTTTGATTATCTCATTTGGGCAGCAGATGCACGTGAAGCTCTCAAAGTCTTCGATGACCCCACACCGATGGAGAAGTCTTTTTCTCGTCTTCACAATACATGGTTTACGACTACGTTGTTCGACTCTACTGAACGCTGCAGAT